GAATATTTATGTTTGTGTTTTTAAAATATAGCAGTACGTACCTAACTTTGTAGTGATGTTTTAAAAAGACTGTATTGTAATATCGAGAAAAAGCATTATAGTGCCTACAAAAAAATAGTATTGGGGAATGATATTTTGAAGAAAAAATCACAAGTTATCAAAAAAAGTAATTACTAGTGCCACACTCTAGAAAGAAAAAATGATAATGCAGAAAATGATCGTGGAGGAGGAAGTAATGAAGAAACGACATGAAAAAGACTTACGAAAGGAAATAAAAGAGACATGCTGAAAAATATAATGAAAAATGGTAGAGTTTTGTTTTAAGAGAGAAATTGGTAGATTTAATTCCATAAAAGTAGGAAAAGATAATGATAATTATCTTCTAAATTATATGTAAAGAAATTATTTAATAAAAAAATATTAAAATTGGAATATGGCTAAACGGGCTAATGAATACTCCTTAATGATTAGGATGAGGGATAGATTTGGACACCTTGAATAAATTAAATCCTATATTAAGAAAAAGAACTGTCTTTTAGTTCTATATGGAGCAATTTTTTCTAAAACAATATTTATAAATAGTTTCGACCAGCTTATAAATACACAAAAATAATCACTAAAAGTTTGACGATTGAGGGAGCATAACACTATTTTTTTTAAGTTTGTCAAAAAACCAAATCAACCAAAAAACTCAAGCTTGAGGTTGTGGCCCTAAAGAAGTTATTTATACTCTAATATGCTCTCTCACGTGCATGTGTAATCTTTTTCAAGCCTTGCACGTGAAACCTTAAATTTTTTTAAAATTGGGTAGCGCTGAGTTTCGAACCTGTGACTTCTTAGTGAAGAAGACTCCTATACCATGTTAAGAAACCAATTCAATCAAAAGTTCAAACTTGTGATTATGACCTATGAGAATTTATTTACTCCCTCCGTCCATTTTTAATGTTCAGAGTTTGACTTGGCACAGAGTTTAAGAAAATGTAAAAAAAGCCTTGACTTTCCAACTTTGCCCTTTGGTTAATAAAAATAAATAAATAAATTAAAGGTCTGGAACCGATTCTCCCACCGTCGCACCCTCGCGACCTTCAATTTTTGAGGAAAGTTTCTCAATCACCTCTACCCCAGGCGCGATGAAGTTTTTTCCAGCTTCATCAGAGTCTTCCAGATCGGTGAACACATCAGGAGTTTCTGGAATTATTGAAACATATCACAAATCTTCAGAATCCATAGGGATAAGAGCAACTTTTGGGGTGCAAAAGAAATTTTAGATGTAGATCTAAGAGGTCATACAGAGGAGGCGAGTAAGAGAGAGGAGGCAGAGATAAGAGAAATGAAGAGACGAAAGAGGAGGAGAGATTTAGATCTGAGTATGCGTTAATAACGAGGAGTCAAAAGTTGGGGAAGTGGGGTGGTTGGAGTTACCAAGTAAATTAAAGTGGGTGGTGGATGAGGGGTATTAAAGGCATTTCACTCATGATTCTTTGCCTAATTTAGAAACATGAACATTATTTATGGACAGACCAAAAAGGAAAATGCGAACATTAAAAATAGACAGAGGGAGTATAATCTAACAAAAAATTAAACATAAGCCACTTCCATGCACCCCTAAGCAATCACTCACTCTTCGTCTCTCCCTCTGTCATGCGTTGGCGCGGCAAATGTTTAGGATGTCCGCCCACTTTAACATGGGATTCACATTGATTTTTTACTCTCTGTCCACTTTACAAAGTATTCACTACATCTTAAAATTATCTCTTTTCAAATTACGACGTTTGACCAATATGATTTTCAATTTAATTTATTTGATTATAAGTGTAAAATTAAAAAATAAAATTTATATACTTAACAACTACTCCCTCCGTCCCTAAATAAACTTCTCCTTTCGTTTTTTCTTTGTCCCCAAATAAACTTCTTTTTTCCCTTAAAAAACCCATTTTACCCCTTACTTTTTCATACCCTACCTATCACATCATACTTTTTTACTAATAATCTACATATCACATCTTACATTTACACATCACATCAAGAGTATTTTTGGAAAGTCAACACAAAAATATCCTCCCTTAAATCCTCAAAAAGTCAAAAAGGGAAGTTTATTTAGGGACGGAGGGAGTATATCAAAAGCGATACAAAATTATGAGTAACATGACTATATTATTTTATCAAATAACTAACATAATGTTTAAGTAATGCTGTAGAAATGAGAAAATAATTTTAGGACGACAGTTGTGAGAAGTATTTCTCAATGGGCATAGGATGTCCAAATCCCACCATCAATGCCGGCCTTGTCTTCCTCAACCCTTTCACAGAGAAAATTAACTTCAAATAAACGAAAGCACGTGGAGGCAACCAAAGTTAATGCCAATTAAATCTGTGCCTTGGACAGTTCATTATTCACTATTTTTCTAATTAAAAAAAAGGACCATGCTACACTTACACCAAAAAATGTACCACATTTGTACACCACAGTTATGCACAAATATTTTGATGGTTTACACCGACACAAGTATTGGTGCATTAACAAAAATTTACACGGCCACAAAGTATTAGTGCGTTAACTAAAATTAGTTTTACATCAACATAAAATACTAGTATAAATCTGTGGGGTACAAATTGGGGTATAAATGTTGGGTACACATAATTTAATCCAAAAAAACAGATCGGTTGCAAAAAAAAACCAACCTTTCCTCATACTAGTCAACAACCCAATTGAATTTATTGAGTGCAATTTATTCTGGACACACAATTTTTTCTAGTGTATTCCATTAATTAATACTATTATTTGCATCTGTTTACTTTTTTGTTTTCACATTATGCATAGAGTTGTGCTAGGGTAATCCCAACATTTTAGGTTATCGTTAATTCCCCAATTCCCAAACTCTGCATAGACGCACACAAACCATTGATATTTGTGCGGTACTCAATATGAATAATGATAATAATAAGGAAAAATTACCCAAAATAATCCCAACTTTACTCGGTTTTCAAAAATAATCCCACCTTTCACTGTGATGCATAATAATCCCAACTTTACTGAAATTTGCCAGTTTTGGGTCGCCGTTAAGTTTCTAACGGAGGGATAACGGAAATGCCCGTTTTAGACAACAAAATGAAAGTTGGGATTATTTTTGATGAATTTTTGTTTTTTAATTTTTTTTTGAAATTTTTATTTAAATTTTTTGAATTACTTTCAACCTCCATTTCTTTTTCTTTTTTAAAGATTATTCTTACCTTAGAAAAAAATAGATATAAAAAATAATGAAAATGAGAATAATAACTAAAACCATACAAAATTAATCAAATAAATAATGTAATCAATAGAAATTAAACAGAAACTGGTAAGAAATAAAATAAATATTACATTATTTATTTGATTAATTTTGTATGGTTTTAGTTATTTTTCTTATTTTCATTATTTTTTATATCTATTTTTTTCTAAGGTAAGAATAATCTTTAAAAAAGAAAAAGAAATGGAGGTTGAAAGTAATTCAAAAAATTT